CCATTATATCAAGAATTCACCCATTAGGAATTCATCTTTTTTACCCATTATATCCTCACACAATTTTCAAAATTCCAAATACGCCATCTACTTTAACCAAAAAATGAGGACATTTTAGTAATTAGTACCACTTATACCCCAATTCCTTATGGTTTAGTAAACAACTTCAATAGGAATTCGGAATCTAACTCCCCTCAATCCATATGGTTTAGTAAACAACTTCATTAGGAATCCGGAATCTAATTCTCCTCAATCCAACTCCTCCTCAATTCAATTCATCCTCAATTCAATTCCCCCTAATTCAATTCCGGTTAAAGAAATATTTGACTTGATAATTGCATTTAATCTATGAACTTTTAGCAGAAGGCAAAGTATATTAGTTACGTTCAAGAGCTGTTAAGTTTTAATTTGTCACACGATTACCACTAATATCAGTTTGTTCTTCTTTTCCCTTTATATTTCACTTGGAAATGTTTACACAAGATTATGAACTTATGAGTAAACATTAAGTTAACAACGCCTTTATTCCACATAAATCCCCAATTAACGGACATAAACATGGATCTTGTCAAACCACAAGGATGACGTCCGCCGCTAGGCCATAGCATAACTAGAGAGAAGGTAACTTTTAAACATCATATGCAACAACTACCATCTAGGGTTGATTTTTAGACAGATCGGATCGGAATTAGGGCATTCTAATTCCAATCCAAAAAAATTTGGAATGAAATTTCTATTTCAATTCCATTCTAAAAAAATTCAGAATTTCAATATCCATTCCAAATCGAAAAACTCGGATTTTTTGGAAAATTTCAGAATTTACATATTTCAGGTTTTTTAAAAAAAAATTTCAGAAACTAGTTCCAAATTCTAAACATGCCCAACCATTTGAAGGATTAAAATTGACTCAAAATTGAAAACTCATAATGTAAGCTTGGAAACTATTATATGCTAGTACTTAGATGTTATTATCCTTTCAGAATCTCTAGATCCATTCCAATTCCAATCCAATTTTTTATTGGAATTTTCGTATTTCAGAACTTTCAAATGTCGAAATTAATTTGAACTTGCCAAAATCAGAAATTTTAGGAACCAAATTGGTCGGAATCAGGCTTTCCAATCCAACTTGCACCCCTACCATCTCTACTTTCGCTTATTTACCAGCTAACTAGGAAATGAGTAATTCTTTGATGTGAATGTAACTAGGAAATAAAATTTTGTTAATTTACTAATTATTTGTTATTTACTTGGTAGTAATTCTGTGATCGTTGATGAGGTGACGCTAGGTGCTCTAAAAAGTGTGATGTTAATCAATAGACTAACCATGGCAAAAGAACATACTATCTGTAAATCAACGAAATTTGTGTTCCAAGTGTTAAATTGTCATTTTCATCCATGGTATTTGTGAGTCTACAACTTAACAATTAGTTTCAAAACACAAATTGCAGTTAACTAGTGAACAAAATTTCACCCACTGCGATATACGCATCTCATTATCAAGCTAAGGGAGTAAATAATTGATTTCTGCAAAGATATAACTATGTTTTTTTTATATTTAAAATATATTGGGGGATGGGGTTCGAAGTTGACACAATTAGTTTGTAACTCAAAATCCTTTTTACATGGGCTAGACCATATATATATATATATATTTTAAACATGTTATTATTGATATGAGGACCAATTAAGAAGGAAGATGAAATATCGAACATGATCAGAATACGTGTCTCGTTGCTTATCGTCAAACCTATAACACTTTTTCATGATAAAGTTTTCAAGCATATAATTATGAGTGGTCCACTAACAATGTCACACAATTTTGAATTATGTTTGGATATAAAGATGTTATATATGAATCATGATGGCCTTTTCAGACCCGACCAAATAAAATGCTACATATTCATTTCATTCGATGCATACAAGAAAAGAAGAAATGTCCTAGGCTCCATTGTTTGATGAATTTTGTGTTTGTCAGAAAAATACAAATTAACGATAATTCCCAGAAAAGCAACATATCCTGTTATAGAGAGGGACTCCAAACTTGCAGAAAAATTTGTGTGAAATGGGAATAACATTGTTTTGCTATTTATGATTAATTATGCTATGTCAAGTGGAAAAGTTATTACGCATGGCACATCGTGGTTTTGCACACAAGTGTTTCTAATAAACTTGAGGCATGAAATAGAGAATGCGGTTATCTATTCTTTAATATATATAGCTCAAATGTTTGGTAATTTGGTTACATTTAAGCCTATAGCCCACCACTATTAATCAATATTTTGCCGAAATTGCATTTCAATATGAATATAGTAGTAAAATAATACATTTTTGAAATAAACTCACTAATTTCAATCTAGCACTCTTATTATTGGTAATAGTTTACCCTAGGGATGGGCATATGAAGTCGAAGAACCGAAACCGAACACGTTCCGAGCCGTGCTGTACCAAACTTGTGCCGTTTCATTTGGTTTTTAGCTACATCCGGTATGATACCGAACCATATCAACTTTGTATGGCATGGGAGCGGTACCAGATATTTGATATCATTACATCCCGTACCTTACCAAACAGTGTTTATGTTTGGGGGTGGTGAGAATTCACCCAACCCGGGCGCCTTAAGAAGTACAAGCGGCCAGAGTAAATTCGAGCGTGGCTAGAGTCTTTGTGGTTGGGCCGTGGCTGGAAGATGGGCAGGATTGCGTTCAAGCTTGGCTGAAGAATATGGCCTAGTTTGTAGCTGAAGATACGGCCGGGTTTTGGTGGAGTTACGGCTGGGATTTTTTTGCAGAGTTGGGCCAAATGGAACTGGGCACGACTGGATGCAGCTGGGCAGCCGGGTGAAGCTGAGCATGGCCGGAGGAGCTAGGCTGGAAAGCGGCCGGAATTGCGGCTGGAGACTTAGACCACGTTGTGTTCAAAGTGCGGCCGGGTCTTTTCAAAAGGATGAGTTGCGGTCGGGTTTTTTCGGACTGGAGTGTTATTGTTGGGGCTAGAATGTTTTAGGTTTGGGGAGGGTTTTATATTAGCCCATATATATATATATATATATATTAATGAATATAAAGATTAAATGAGTTTCCTCGGCGGACCAATTTTAGAGTTCCAGGAATTCGAAAATTATGAAGGGCATCTTCATGCCATTCCAAAGATTGAAGTTCCAAGCCCAAGACACCAATTCGAGCCCAGGATTTTCGGAGGATTATATGCACATGACGGAGGCCTCACAAGGAAATAAATCAAGGAGGTTGATAATAAATTAGAATGTTCTAAAGCAAGGAAGAATCAAGCATGTCAGGGTATCTCCATTAATGCAATCCCACAGATTTAGGGGGGGGGGCCTTGGAAGGAAGTTTTAAAAGGGTTGACCTTTGGCCATTCAATGGTGACGAATGCCCTATATAAACCTCACCAAATGAAGGAAAGAGACATAACATCAAACAGACAAACCTATCTTTCGTCTCGCACTTTTCTTTTCCTAGACTTAGGATTTTACTTTTCAAGCACCTAGTGTAGCGAGTTCTTCATTTTCCTAGTATAAGTTTAAATTCTTGTTCAAGTTATATTTTCTTGTCAGTTAAATTCAAGTTTATTTCAATTGTTTTACCTTTCATCGTTATCGCACTTTTATTAAGTTTAATTTCAAGTTTATTTTAGTTTATTGTTCTTATCGTTCTTATCACTTTTATTTCGTTATTGCTTTATTTATCGCTTTGATTTATTTTATCGCACTTCAATTCTTGTCTTTACGTTTAAACGCATATTTAGATTAATTGCACTATTTTTACTTAAAACCCTAAAAATCACAAAAACATCTGTACGAAGCCTAACCATTCTCGAGCTCGAGAAAGTGAAAGAATCTAAGCCAAGATGAGGTTCCTTGCTTGGCCGATCAATTGTTTGATAAGAAGTTAGGAGCGCAACACATTCATCTACTCACATTCCATTCAAACTCAAATTCTTAGTTTGGTGGTGGCACGCCACTCATTCAAAAGAAGAATAACCAAAAGTCCCTTCCGTTAGCCGTCTCGGCCGAAAAGAGGAAAACAATTTAATTTTAATTTTTATATTTTTATTCACTCTCTCTCGGCCCTAAATTCTGTTACCGACAGGGATCTCATGTAGGTTTTTACGATTACAATAAAATATAAATTATGTGCACGACTAATGCTAGCATTTCGCTCACTCAAAAAAGCCCATGTCCAATATTATAGATGTTAAAGGACATGTGTAGCCGTTTGTATAAATCCTGAAGCAGCCTATGAGACACACGACAAGACCTGACCTCCGACACCAAGGGTAAACCTTATCCAACCATTAAATTTGATCGCATCACTTTAACAGATGAATGAGCCCCACCAATGTCCTGGCCTCGTGGGTGGTCTCGGACCGAGACAGCGACTTAGGGCAACAACTCGTTTGTCTCACGCGCTTGTGGGTCGCATGAGTGGACTGGGACGGTAGCTCTCAGTGCTGTATGTATGTACCTGGTTTCTCAGTTCACGAAGATATACAGTAGAGCCTCTACTGCCCATCATCGGGCAGGTGTGGATACGTGTCCAGCTTCTGGCCGTGGATTGCATGCATCATAGGACAAGTGATGGACTTTTTCAAACAAAAATGGTACCTTTTTCTCTTTAGTTTTTCATAATCATTCATTACTAGTACTTAATATTATAAAATAATTGGTTTTTTTATGAGAAAAATAATTGTTTTTTTTTATGAGAAAAATAATTGGTTTTTAAAGCTTAATAATTGGATTTTAGTTGGTATTGAGTACTTAATAATATTATATAATAATTGGTTTTTCGTTGGTACCATCTTTTTACCTCTGTGTGTCCAATGACATTCTTTCTGGTACAATCTTGAACGTTGTGGTTATCTTCCTTTTTACTTTTTTTTTTTTTTTTTTTATATAAAATTTTTTATTTTTATTTTTGGGTGCAATGCAATGGTTTATCTTCTTGATATTTGTATAGACTGTTTGTGGTGAAAGCCGTTTAAGTTATTTTAACTCTCGGTCTGCTCGAGGGATTCACTTTTTTCTTTTCTGTTCACTATTCTTGGCTTTTAAAGTGGCTCTTGATTTCTCTACTCTCTCTCTCTCGCGCAGCTTCTTCCTTGAAAGTGATTTCTTTCCTTTGCATGTTACTATTTTTTTTTTCATTTTCTGGGTTGGTGTGGGATTATCTTCTGTCTACTTTGTAGGGTTTGGATATGGCAACTGATGCCTCAGATGTTTCTAGTTGCTTGACTTCTTTGAGTTTTCTTTTTCTTAAGTTTGAGTTTGTTTGTCTTTTCTTGCATTTTCTTCTTCTTCTTCTTGTTTTTTGAGCTTTGGGTTTCTTTAAAAGCAGAACTCTTCATCATGCACCATTTAGTTAAAAAAAAGTTTGAAAAAACAGAAGAGAAATTCAAATTATACTCCTTTTGTTATGTTTTCTAACTATTGAGGTTCAGTTTAGATGTGCCAGGAACCTTTATGTGGAAGATTTCTCCTTTTCTTTACATCAGATTCAATCTGTAACATTTAAGGTTGAAGGTTTGTGTTTTGACTATTTTCTTAGACTCTTTGTGCAACAAATCTATGATTTGAAGCCTGAGTTTGACTTGCAAAGCAGTTTGAGCAAGTAAGATAACATAAAATTTAGTGGAACTTTTTATTCTTGGGTATTAGATTTGATGGACCTTCCTTTGCTTTCGAGATGGACAAGATCCTTGCTCACTCACTTATATATAATTACTCTCCAATTTTCAACATCTTTTCTACATTTTATTGGCTGTTAAATTCCTCTTGAAGCTTTTCTACTTCTAGAGTATAATATATATTTTTTTGGTTGAGAGATCTAAAGTAGAAGTTTTTAAGTCTAGTATTGGAGGTTAAATATATAAGATGTCTTGGGGTTCTAGAAAATTTTCTTATCATGAAGCTCAAGTTAAGGTTTCTGATAGTATTTTGCATGTGATACTGTGTGCGCTCAATTTTATGTTGTATGTTTTGTTTTCTAGAAGATCATTATTGATCTGTAATTTCTAATTGTAGAGTAGGTCTTAATTCTCCTTAGTTCAAGGATATATTAGGCTTCGGTCTCTAAGGGTGATACTGCTGTTGTCTTGTGGCTTTATCTTTGTATTCCCTTTTCTTTACTTTTATTTTCCCCCAAATTTATTTGCGTCTTACATGATTTATGTGTATTCCCATGTCAGATTTCATGACAATTGCTGTGGTTGTTAAAACAGATTGCTTTATGAGCTGAGCTATGATAATTGACGTTGTTTGACGACGAGAGAGAGCACGCTTGTCGGCACCCATGAAAGGGCCATGGATGTTTACGGGCGTGCTCTCTCTTGTTGTCATACAGTCTATCAGCTCGCCCGGATCTTTGGAATTTGATCAACCTGCAGGTGATTAATTTTGATATCTAAGTAATGCTAGAATGATGCATATGATTTACTTGTTTTTACTTCGATTTATTTTTTTATAGCTTTGCTGCAGAATCATTTGTATGAGCTTAACTGAATTGCATAGTTTGAAAGATTCATAATTAATTAATGTGCTCATTTTGGGAAATCTAATAGAACTTCAATAAGCAACAATTGCACATAAATTTATCATGTCCTTCAACCAAGTTTGTTCAATGGTTGTAATATAATTGGTTAGTAGGGAAATAGTAGGCTGTGCCGTGCCAGATGCAGGTGTTATTTACTGATTAAATAAAAATTCATGTCTTATTATCATTTGAGTATTCAAAATTTGATGTAGATAAAGTATATATTTCAGTCTATTATTATTGAGATTTTTCCTCAACATTGTAGATAGGGATGAGAATGGATGACGGTGGAGTAAGGTGACACAAGATTTCATCAAGATCATCAATGTTGTTGCTTTATAGCAAATAATCTTTCATTCTTAAGTTGTAGTTATTGGTTTTCTATCATCTTTTACTTTACCATTTGACATGTGTCTTTCTATATTTGCCAAATACTGGAATTGTGTTCTTTTGCATTATACTGCTTAAATGAATTCAGTTAAGATAGTGAAATAGCGATAATAATCTATATCCAAGAGATCCAAAATTGCTGAAATGATTAGAATTTTTTTTTTTCGTCTCTTTTTTAAAAAAAAAAAACATGTTGAAATGATTAGAAACAGAAAACATTAGTTATGTCTTTCAAGACAATTTCATTTTCAAGATTTTTGGATTTGTTGAACTTGGATTATATTGGTATTTCAGTATGGGCTACAAAAGCAAAAATTAATATTCTGGAAGATCGATTATAATGACACTATATATGTGAGGAAATGCATTTTCTTTTCAAATATTTGTATTGTTAGAGAAGTTGCGTGTTTGTTTGAGTTAGAGTGTAGAATTAAAGAGAGACAAATAAATGGAAGTTCTAAACATGAAAAGCAAGGTTACTAACGTTCTCACCATGATCATGGTGAACTTGATGGACAGGAATTGGGTTTTGGTAGCGTTGGTATGTGCGGGGTTGATGGCGGTAAGTGAATTGATAGTAGTTTTCTTTGTACATTGAGATTGTACCTTATCACTCTCTTTCCACAAGGGATTGGATTAAATCCTTTACTTCGTTCAAGCAGGCAGATTGAACTACTAACTGGAAAATGATTCTGAGATCCAACTGTTGTTGGATTTTATATATTAATTATTTGTTCTTACTAGTAATATCTGCTGTTTCTTTGATGCAGTGGTCATAATGAATTGTAGTTTATGATTTAAAATGTGTTTGACTATTGGAAAATCTAATAGCGGTACAATTCATTAGTTTTGAATAAATTATGTTTGTCAATCAAGTTTGTTCAGTGGTCATAATGTAATTGTTAGTGGGAAAATACAAGGCTGTGATTCAAAAGATTTAGTAAGCATTTAGTGGTTGTAATGAATTTTCTTTTTACTATTTGGGATTCAAAAATTGATTTGGATGAAGTATTATTTGACTGTGTTTTTTACTTGCTGCTTAATGTTGCAAACAATGAATATGGGCTGGACTAGGGTTTATGAGTATTAATTCCTTTTCCTTTTGTTCCTGCTTCTACAAGAAATATTTGCCCGTTTCCCACCCCATCTAGAAGCACAATTATAAATCTGGTTAAATTGGTGCTCATTAACTACAAATGAATAATTGTTAATGAGCTTAAACAAGTCCATAACTGGTAATAGAAGCAAAAACTAAATACCTACTGTTCATCCCAAAAATACAATCACCAAAAAGAACACCCACAATCAAGTGAAGTGAGACAAAGAGGGAAAGGAATAGAAAGGGAAAGAAATGAAGTTGAGATTTGAAAAATAAGGGTCTATTTTTAATACATAATATATAAAAGAAATTATTATAATATACTAACTAAAACACTGAACAGCGCTTTCATCTTAAGAAAAAAATTATAGAAGACATAAGAATGAAGAGCATTATAGCTAATGCGATAGGTGTGCTGCTAATGATTTGTGCAACAATCTATGATTTGAAGTCTGAGTTTGACTTACAAAGCAGTTTGAGCAAGTAAGTAACATAAAATTTGGTGGAACTTTTTATTCTTTGATGCTAGATTTGATGGAGCTTACTTTGCTTTTGAGATGGACAAGATCCTTGCTCACTTGCTTATATCTCCGATTTTTCAACATCTTTTCTACATTTTATTGGCAGTTAAATTCCTCTTGAATTTTTATTTTTTTTTGGTTGAGAGATCTAAAGTAGAAGTTTGTAAGTCTAGCATTGGAGGTTAAATATAAAAGTTGTCTTGGGGTTCTAGAAAATTTTCTTATCATGAAGCTCAAGTTAAGGTTTCTGATAGTATTTTGCATGTGATACAGTGTGCGCTCAATTTTATGTTGTATGTTTTGGTTTCTAGAAGATCATTATTGATCTGTAATTTCTAATTGTAGAGTAGGTCTTAATTCTCCTTAGTTCAAGGATATACTAGGTTTCGATTTCTGTGGGTGATGCTGCTGTTGTTTTGTGGCTTTATATTTGTTGTGTTGAAATCTAGGTCAGTTGGGGATGATTGGAGATTTCAGATTTGGTTGATGCTATATATATATACACATGTATGTGTTTGTGTTCCCTTTTCTTTTCTTTATTTCCCCCCAAATTTATTTGCATCCTGACATGATTTATGTGTAGAAATTCCCATTTCAGATTTCATGACAATTGCTGCGGTTGTTAAAACAGGTTGCTTTATTTTTTCAGTTACTGTTACTGATGTATGAGCTGAGCAATGATTGACGTTGTTTGACAACGAGAGAGAGCACGCTTGTCGGCACCCATGAAAGGGCCATGGATGTTTATGGGCATGCTCTCTCTTGTTGTCAAACTGTCTATCTGCTGGTTCGGATCTTTGGAATTTGATCAACCTGCAGGTGTTTAATTTTGATATCCAAGTAATGATAGAATGATGCATATGATTTACTTGTTCTTACTTCTATTTTTTTTGTAGCTTTGCTGCAGAATCATTTGCATGAGCTTAACTGAATTGCATAGTTTGAAAGATTCATAATTAATTAATGTGCTCATTTTGGGAAATCTAATAGAACTTCAATAAGCAACAATTGCACATAAATTTGTCATGTCCTTCAACCAAGTTTGTTCAATGGTTGTAATGTAATTGCATAGGGGGTAAATAGTAGGCTGTGCCGTGCCTGATGCAGGTGTTATTTATTGTTTAAATAAAAATTCATGTTTTATTATCATTTGAGTATTCAAAACTTGATATAGATAAAGTATATATTTCAGTCTATTGTTATTGAGATATTTCCTTAACATTGTAGATAGGGAAGACAATGTACTGGCGGTAGAGTAAGGTGACTTCCATGGTACCCCTTCTCCGTCTCCATTTCAGCTGGAATTATAGAACATGTCCCATGTTTCTTGATTATATGATCAGAAAGTATATATCATTATCATGCTTCTGCACTACACATTTAGAAGCAAAAGAAATAAAACCAACATCCTAATTAAATACAATGACCATAGGCAAGACCCCCAATCAAGTGAAGTGAATACAAGAAGAGGCAGAAGTCGAATAAAGGAAAAGAGAGTTAATTTTTGAAAAAGAAGGGTGTTATCTTATGTAGTGTGCAAATCGAATGGGACAAATCTGAATGCTTGTTTCCTTTGCATTCCTTGTTATCTTCTCACATTTATTTATTTTTAAAATTTAAATTTTGCCATGTAGCTTTATTTAACTTCTTTTTCTTAAGATTAATAAAATAGAAAATATATATTAAACAAAGGGTCAGACATGTCCATTGTGCCACGGCATTGCAGTGGGTGCAGAGAGCCATGGTGATTTGGCCATTATAGCATGATCATCAATGTGGTTGGGGGAGTTGAGTAGGGTGCAGGGAGAACACAAGATTCCAACAAGATCATCAATGTTGCTGCATTATAGCAAATAATCTTTCATTCTTAGGTTGCAGTTATTGGTTTTCTATCATCTTTTACTTTACCATTTGACATGTGTCTTTGTATATTTGCCAAATACTGGAATTGTGTTCTTTTGCATTATACTCAAATGAATTCAGTTAAGTTTTGTTTTCATAGGTATAGTGAAATAGCGATAATAATCTATATCCAAGAGATCCAAAATTGTTGAAATGATTAGAAACAGAAAACATTTATGTCTTTCAAGACAATTTCATTTTCAAGCTTTTTGGATTTGTCGAACTTGGATTGTATTGATATTTTAGTATCGGCTACAAAAGCAAAAATTAGTATTCTTAGGACACCTTATATGTGAGGAAATGCATTTTCTTGTCAAATTTGTTTCTTTTTAGAGAAGATGTGTGTTTGGTAGAGTTAGAGTGAAGTATTAAAGAGAGACAAATAAATGGAAGTTCTAAACATGAAAAGCAAGGTTGCTAACGTTCTCACCATGATCATGTTTAACTTGATGGACAGGAATTGGGTTTTGGTAGCATTGGTATGTGCGGGGTTGATGGTGGTAAGTGAATTGATAATAGTTTTCTTTGTTCATTAAGATTATACTTTAATATTAAACATTTTATCACTCTCTTTCCACAAGGGATATATTAAATCCTTTACTTCATTCAAGTAGGCAGATTGAACTACTAACTGGAAAATGATTCTGATATCCAACTGTTGTTGGATTTCATATATTAATTACTTGTTCTTACTAGTAATATCTGCTGTTTTTGATGCAGTGGTCGTAATGAATTGTAGTTTCTGATTTAAAATGTGTTTGACTATTGGAAAATCTAATAGAAGTACAATTCATTAGTTTTGCATAAATCATGTTTGTCAATCAAGTTTGTTCAGTGGTCATAATGTAATTGTTAGTGGGAAAATACAAGACTGTGATTCAAAAGATTTGGTCTAAGCATTTAGTGGTCGTAATGAATTTTCTTTTTACTATTTAGGATTCAAAAATTGATTTGGATGAAGTATTTATTTGACTTTTTTTTTTTTTTTTTTTTTTTTCACTTGTTGCTTAATAATGTTGCAAACAAAGAATATGGGCTGGATTAGGGTTTATGAGTATTAATTCCTTTTCCCTTTGTTCCTGCTCCTACAAGAAATATTTGCCCTTTTCCCATCCCATCTAGAAGCACAATTATAAATCTGGTTAAATTGGTGCTCATTAACTACAAATGAAATAATTTTTAATGAGCTCAAGTCCATAACTGGTAATAGAAGCAAAAACTAAATACCTATTGTTCATCCCAAAAATACAATCACCAAAAAGAACACCCACAATCAAGTGAAGTGAGACAAAGAGGGAAAGGAATAGAAAGGGAAAGAAATAAAGTTGAGATTTGAAAAATAAGGGTATTTTTTTAATATATAATATATAAAAGAAATTATTATAATATGCTAACTAAAACATTGAACTGTGCTTTCATCTTAAGAAAAAAAATTATAGAAGACATAAGAATGAAGAGCATTATAGCTAATGCGATAGGCGTCTTGCTAATGATTTGTGCAACAATCTATGATTTGAAGTCTGAGTTTGACTAACAAAGCAGTTTGAGTAAGTAAGATAACATAAAATTTGGTGGAACTTTTTATTCTTTGATGCTAGATTTGATGGAACTTCCTTTGCTTTCAAGATGGACAAGATCCTTGTTCACTTGCTTATATATAATTACTCACCGATTTTTCAACATCTTTTCTACATTTTATTGGCAGTTAAATTCCTCTTGATATTTTTGTTGTTGAGAGATCTAAAGTAGAAGTTTGTAAGTCTAGTATTGGAGGTTAAATATAAAAGATGTCTTGGGGTTCTAGAAAGTTTTCTTATCATGAAGCTCAAGTTAAGGTTTCTGATAGTATTTTGCATGTGATACAGTGTGCGCTCAATTTTATGTTGTATGTTTTGGTTTCTAGAAGATCATTATTGATCTGTAATTTCTAATTGTAGAGTAGGTCTTATTTCTCCTTAATTCAAGGATATACTAGGTTTCGATTTCTGTGGGTGATGCTGCTGTTTGCTTTGTGGCTTTATATTTGTTGTGTTGAAATCTAGGTCAGTTGGGGATGATTGGAGATTTCAGATTTGGTTGATGCTAGATATATATATACACATGTATGTGTTTGTGTTCCCTTTTTTTTTCTTTATTTACCCCCAAATTTATTTGCATCTTGACATGATTTATGTGTAGTTTTGTAGTTTTGCTGCAGAATCATTTGTATGAGCTTAACTGAATTGCATAGTTTGAAAGATTCATAATTAATTAATTAATTAATGGGCTCATTTTGGGAAATCTAATAGAACTTCAATATAAGTGACAATTGCACATAAATTTATCATGTCCTTCAACCAAGTTTGTTCAATGGTTGTAATGTAATTGCATAGTGGGTAAATAGTAGGCTGTGCCGTGCCTGATGTAGGTGTTATTTACTGTTTAAATAAAAATTCATGTCTTCTTTACCATTTGAGTATTCAAAATTTGATGTAGCTAAAGTATATATTTCGGTCTATTATTATTGAGATATTTCCTTAACATTGTAGATAGGGATGACAATGGACTGGCGGTGGAGTAAGGTGATTCAAAAATTAATTGATTTGGATGAAGTATTTATTTGACTTTTCTTTTTTTCACTTGTTGCTTAATGTTGCAAACAATGAATATGGGCTGGATTAGGGTTTAGGAGTATTAATTCCTTTCCCCTTTGTTCCTGCTCCTACAAGAAATATTTGCCCTTTTCCCACCCCATCTAGAAGCACAATTATAAATCTGGTTAAATTGGTGCTCATTAACTACAAATGAAATAATTTTTAATGAGCTTAAACAAGTCCATAACTGGAAATAGAAGCAAAAACTAAAAACCTATTTTTCATCCCGAAAATACAATGACCAAAAAGAACACTCTCAATCAAATGATGGCAGTTGTTTTTTTCTTCTCGTTTTCTTCTATGGGATGAAATATTTTCTCTCATGGTTCAAAACTGCAGGCATATGTAGTGGACCCTACAAGATGAAGTGGTAAGCCCTCTTCGATGATTTGAACCCACAAGTGCCTCTTACCAAAAAAACTACAGGTATATTTAAATCCAAGGCTTGTGAAACTTCTGAATGTTCATTAATTTGTTTCTTTGCATTATGAAACTTCTGTTCCTGTTTTTCTGGGTGTTTTATCTTTTTCTCCCCATCCATTCCTTGTATCGTGCCACTCTGAGTACATCTTTGATGTTTGTTTTGGTACTCAACTCGTAAGTGTATAGTGGGTGATGCATATTCTGCCTATTAATGGAATGCACAACGAGATAAACAGTTTGGGCATACCATTTTTGTGCTTGATTTTACTGTTAACGAGATAGAAAGTTCAACATAGGAATTGAGTTGAGTTGAGCACATATCAGTTGATCTGATTTCATACACTTCAAAATTGTTTTTAACTTTTTTTTCTTCACGTTTTAAAGTGCTTGAATGGTCTCTAGGAGTTGGATGGGCTGAAGACCGAAGAACGTTCCCTTGATATGCTTCAACCAGCTGCTAAAGGTTGTGGATTTTTCTCCCATTCAAAAAAAAAAATTATCTTCGCTCTATTTATAAGGTTGTTACACATTCCTGTTGTATCTCCCTGCCAACCGTTTGATCCTTTTCTGTAGGCATACATATTCAGGCTCCAAAACTGCGGTATTCGACCTTTGGCTTATTACTCAATGAGTTTACTCTCTAAGCCTGGACAGTGACGAAACCAGGTGGTTTGAGAATTGGGGTGTCAAAACGTCCTTTTAAGTTTACAATTTTTTGTGGGTTCTAATGATCAGTCAATGGATGTCATTTTTGTGTTCATGAAAGAAAGTGGCTATATGTAGATTGAAAACTTGAGTAGTTCTTGTTATGAGATGCTCTCTTCTATGCCATCGTGGTTTTTCTACTTTCACACGACTTGAAAAAAAAAAAAACAACCCTCTTTTCATCATGAGAAGCCCTCTGGTTTGTTATTTCTGTTAAACAAAATTTGACAGGGCAATGGCATGATGCAAGGATCAGGCCCAAATTAGGGCTTCCAAAAAGAACAAAAAAAGCCGAATTAGGGCAATGCATTATGCGTCTTCCTCCACCTCATTCCCTCCCTTGCCTCCAACGACCCAACCCCAAAATGGCTTCTGGTGCTGACCGTCATTGTGGGCTGCAACTCTCAATACACTCTAGAATGACCTGGCTGGAAAATAAAAAATCGTTATTTGAATACCTGACTTATATACAAATTCCTATGAATCCTTTGACCTTGCATGTGAGGCTTTCCGTATAAATGACGAGAGACCTGTAAATTCAGAAATTTTGAAAAACGCAACGGCGTAAAATAAGTCTTTAGGTGGAGAAATGATGACAACTATGAGGTATTAAATTACAAATTCTGTTTTTATGTGGGTTAAAAATAAAAAAAAATCTGCCGAGGAACAAGTCTCTCTCAGCATAGGGTAAAAGGAAAAAGATCAATACACGCTCAATGATACAGAGGATAAGACAAAATACCCAAAAAAAATTACACGCTCAATGATACAGAGGATAAGATAAAATACACACAAAACTTGAGCTTACAAGAAATATGAACAATACTAACTATTTCATAACACCGCTTTGCCCGAAAATGAATATAATATAGACCATGAGTTCTTTATATGACATGCCATGGAGCTTCTACTGGACGAATCATTTGAATTTCTGCGATTCTGCAACACTTTTTTGGGAGCCAGGTTATTGGGGATTACATTCGAAATAGATCCGGCAATGGCTGAGAAATGGTTTTCTGAAGTGGTGGTAGCTGAGGTTGGGCTTCCAATGGTGGTGTTTGGATTGGGACCTCAGATTGCGGAGCTTGGGTTGGAGCCTCTGGTTGTGGAGCTGGGGATATAGCCTCCGGTTGTGGAGCTGGGGATGGAGCCTCCGGTTGTGGCGCTTGCGATGGGGCCTCTGACTCTGGCGCTTGGGATGGAGCCTCTGATTGGGCCGCTTGGGATGGAGCCTCTGATTGGACCACTTGGGATGGGGTCTCTGATGGCGGCCCTTGGGATGGGGCCTCTGATTGCGGCCCTTGAGATGGGGCCTCTGATTGAGGCACTTGGAGTGGGGCATCTGATGGTGCCGCACTACCTGTAGAAGTTTCTGGGACACTTTCTCCCGGAGCAGCCGGAGCTGGATTAGCTGGATCACTCTCTGCTGATGAAACGGGAGGCTTATCATTTGATGTGGGTTCACCTGATTCTAATGGTTGTTGCTCACTAGAAGGTGCTGGTGTGGTAGTATGGGCTGCTTCTAATAGCAAGGGCTTGCCTGGTTGCTGCTGTGAGTTCTGAGCCCCAGGAGCTGGTTTCTTTTGAACAGAAATTGGAGGAGCTGAAAGAGACGGCATCCCTGGAGGAAGAATTTCAATCGCCGGCTTCTTGGCAGCATCTGCTAAACTTGTGAGCTTTGGTTCCTCCAGAGAAGCCAAAAATGCAGCAGCAGCATCAGTTTTCGTTGTTGGCGTATGCTCAACCTCTCTTTGTAGCATTTTATTCCAAGCCTGAACCAAGTTCTTCAATGTTGGTCTCCCATGAGCCTGCAAATATTCATGAGGAGGTCAGGTCGAAGTTACAATATACGAGATACATGTATAAGCGTACATAAAATGTCATACATGGGCATGAAGCACAGCCTCGGCAAGCATTCCAGTATCCTGCCACGCCTTCTCCATAAGGGCATTGTCTCCCAAAACTGCAGCTGCAAATGCTGCTTCACGTCCGGAGCCAACTGATATTAAATTGTTTACCAAATTCTGCAGTGCATGCAACGGTTTTTAGAAAGTATGATATGACAATAGAAGAATTCAAAAAATTCCCATCAACAAGAATAATCTGGAAAACATAGAAGACGAGTACAAAGAAACAATCAAACACAAATGTCAAAATTCTTTGGTAGAAGAACTCAATCAAACTGCTTAGAGAACGGATAGCATGCAAGAGAGGGCAATTATGAATAGGTTGACAACAACGAATCATACATTGCATACAAAGATTAATTGTCGAAGTGAAAGGCAAAAAAAAAGTAAGAAAAGCATGTTCAGATGTGGATAGCATACACTAAGCCGTGTCAACTCTCCATGATTGGCTAGGCGCAGAGCTTGTCCTCTTAATTCATGACCCTGTAAAGCTCCTTTTACAGAAGCTGCAGCACCCAATCTCTTAAGAGCTTCCCGAGCAATTTCAGCCTGTCCAGTAGCATCTGCAGCATCAATAAGATCCAAAAACTCCTTGACAAATTTCACTATTCCTTGGACAGCTTCCAGAATATTTTCTTTCACAGTTGTTACAGTTAGAATGTCCTTCAAATCAAATCCTGTATTCTCTTGCCCCAAGTCCCTGCTGTTACTCATTGTAAGAAGGCATTGAAGAGCTCTTTTCAAATCATTGCTCTGCATGGCCAAATCAAACTCTAACCTACAAAACAGGGATATCAATAATATGGTTCAAACTGAGATGTTTTGATATCACCATAATAACAGAAAGGATTCAACACAGAAGTGCCAGTAGTTGACAAAAAAGAAAAGAATCCCCTCAAAATGGAAATAATAAGCACAAAAAAGAAAAAAAAAAGGATTAGCAACAGTAGGCACTGCGACATCAAACACACAAGGGGGCGAGTGTAGTTATGGCAGACCTCTTAGATATTCCAGGCAAATGAAGTGCCTCAGTAGCATAACCCATGCCTAGCAAAAATTGAGCTAAATCATCATGATGTTCTCTGCCAAGCCTACTTGCCCTGAATAAAAGAAAAACATGCGGCATTAAATAATTATAGTTAAATCTGTATAAAACAGTAGACAGAAAGATTGTTACCACTTGACAGCACTAATTGCATCTCCATAAGCAGCAAGACACCGACAGCGGATCCCAGGGTGGCTTAGGGATAAGGCATGAGCACTCATATATCTGCCAGGGAGATTTTCAGGGGTTATACACGGAAACTTCTACAATTGATATTTATGCTAGAAGGATGATATGGAAGTAATAACCATTACATTCTTTTAAATAGAACCAGAACTGAAAGCACAAGTTATGGTAGCTAGACAAATCAAACAATTGCTAACTTTACATAGTGTTGAGGAATGAGGACAGAAAAACAAGGTAAGTCAACTCAACAATGTTTTCAAATAATTTATTGAATTGAGGGGTACTTATTTCCGTTTACTTACCCTATAATACTTCATTGCGAATCCTAACTTTCAACTTTTTGACAAGAATCACAAATCTATGAAGCAACATCAAACATTACTATTCCAAGGAGTTTGAATTTGCTTGTACTTTGAAGTTGTACATGACAACAGAATAGAACAAAAGAAAGGAAATTGCTTATGTTCACATTCATATACTTATCAGATAACATAATTAATTCAGCATACAATATTAACAACTAGATTATTGAAAAAGGGAACCCAATACCTATCGATTAGCCAAAGAACACCATCTCTGACACCCACCACTACCAGAGGTCCCACAGGTCGTTTCTGCTCTGTTGGAAAACGAGTAACTGCAACTGAGACCCCTCCACCACCAACGGCTACCTCATTAACCTTTCTTTCTTCAAACTCTTTTGGCAGCCCGGAATCGTCCCCATCAACTTTAGATTGTCTCGACAATGTTAAGAAAGGAGGCACAGATGGGGCATGCTGAAATGAGGCTAATCGCACCACCTAAAACAGAAAAAGAAAAAAAGAAAAGAGAAATAATGGAATTTTAATCAAAAGAGATTTATGACTTTGAACATATAGCAATTGTATTTAGGCTGCAACTTCTCTAAACTCTCCAGCTATTAAAATTCTATGTAAAGCTGCTCATATAAAGTAGGTAGAATGAAATGATACCAATGCCTCTAAAGCTGCTCAATTTATAAAAGATGATGAATACAACTTGGATTATAGATTAAAAAATTCCCGCAACAAAACTTACATGGTCTAATAAAAAGAGGTTATTTTGTTATCAATAAAGAAAATTGTTTACATGAATTTTTGTAACAATTAATATAAACTTTGAGTAATTCATTTCCTGAAAAACTCGTTACAAATCTCAGATGCTTTCACAAAAAAGAAGGCACCAACTCCAGATAAACTGAGGAAAACTTAATTTGTATGTTTCTATGTAAGGCAATGAACGGTCAGCAAAAAGTCATACTTTAGGGAACTCTTTTTACCTGTAGCATTGGGGGCCTCAAAGCTATCCTTTCTTGCGTAACAGATTGCGGACCATCAACTGCAATTAGTGCTAATTCACCATGCTCGGCAAGGGCTCTTTGTTGTGCCTCCTTTAGCTTCATTTCCTCTTTCCTCTTTTTGGTTTCAATGTCAATAGGTGCAACTCCAGCATCCACAAAAACACATCTGGAAAATGCAGCATAAAAAGATGAGCACAGCTTACATGTTACAACATTTTTTATTCCCTATTATCAACTCAATTTACAATTATATTTTGCAATTCCCTATTATCAACTCAATTTACAATTATATTTTGCATTCTTATTTGTTGATGCAAAGTGGTGCAAAGAATGCGTGACAATGAAAAAAGGAGATGAAAGACAGCAACAAGTTTCTTGACAGAATTTTCTTGACAGACACCATTCTCACATATATAATGGTCTTGTTTCTCCTACTAGCAAACTCAGGTCCTAATTTCCTGAGTTCATATAGTTCTACTTCAACATTCTGAAACCTCAGCTTGAGTTTTCTCCAAGCGAGGACTAGAGTGCATGAATTGAATCAGTTTTTTGTGCATAGCCTTCAACTTTGACAACTTTGAGTTTTTGTGTGGGCTCACATGTAACATCATGACAAGTTTTAGAAGCTTTTCAAGATCAAGTTACTAGAAGTCAAAGTCTTCTATTAAATTCTGTGCATTACTAAACAATATCCTTTATCTGACTGTAAATCTAACAACTTCTTTTTCCCTGATAAAACAATTCTCATCTATTCCAAGAACCTGTGTAATTGTAAAGACATAATTTTTGGGGGAATTAGTATATCTTACTCAATCGTGGTAGGCGTAACCACAAACAACTGTCGCCTATGCCAAACAGCACCAGTAGCATAAGGAATTGCGACATCCCCCAGATACCTAAATTGTGGGCGCAAAGAAGATATGACAATGTATTTCTGATATGCAAAAGCACAATACTCAACAGTTTGATCCCATGCTGTCCATTCTGGCTGAGGAATTAGACCACCCACAGGTTGAAAAGTTTCCCAACTGCATAATTAGGAATCACATAAGTTTAAAAGGAAAGCTTATCTTGTTCTTATATCCATATATATTCATTAAAAAAAGCCTTTAATGCAACGTGTAGCACTAAGCACCTTTTAGCAATTGAAATGAAAAATTCATTCCAACATGGGCCAGGAGGGTGAAAGAGAGACAAGTTTGCAGTCAAGTATGTAACTCTAGAAACTATGACTGCTTAAAAAAGGCAACATCCGCAAGCACTAATTGAAAAGAAAGTCCAAGCATCCTCAGTTTAGGAGTTTTGAGAAAATTTTATAAGCACCGTAGAAACCGAGACTTAATTGGGTAATTTTGTCAAAAGCTTGACTCACTTTATCTAAAACACAAAAATTTATAAGCTATATCTAATAAATCCACATTATCTTAAACAATAAAGGAATGAAGAAACTCAAATTTATTAGAGAAACAAAAACATCTTTACATTTTCAGTTTGGGCGAAATTAAAAATAGCAAAAGAAAAAAAATTCTTGCCTGTATAGCTGAAAGTTTTGTGGTGCAGCCTCAGCAGAAGATCTATGAGAAGAAAATCCATCATCAAAAGTGGAAAAAGAAGAATGCCCACCACTTCCAAATCCAGACAGGGGCATGGATTGAATTGTTGAAATAGCTGTTGCAGCAACAGGGCTAATTCTCCGAGATGTTCGGTATGCAACACCAAGAAGGGCCCCTCCATGCAAGCCAATGACCTAGATTACAGTGTTATTACTATTAGAAAGGAAACTTAACCTTCAAAACTTGTTACACATTCCACACCAAAATTTTAACGGATGAGTCCACCAATGCACATTTGAAGTGCTTATCATAAATTTCTGGCCAATTCCTAAAGCATTTGAAATCTTTTTTACAAAAATAAGTTTAATGTCAGAACAATTTTCTAAAGCTTTCTAGATTGTTTTCTGCAATTCTAAATACAATTTGAACGCTGGTGTAGCTGCATGTTTTTGGTCGTGAGTTTAGTTATGGAAAACTGTTATTCACAAAGCACCAAAGAGGGCTAATTTAGGATGTACATCTAGGATGTATATCAACTAAAACACATACAATGTAAAGAATGTACTTAATTTTTTTCAGTCCAAGAACAATTCCATGAGGAGCGAACTACTGTTTTGTAACCCATAGGCATTTTAAAACTCATAACTAAAACGACTATAACCATAGACCGAGGAGAACAGAATAAATACCGGTTCACTGCGACCACCAATAGATCTCATTAAAATATTTGATGTGCCGTCATCCAGCAAGATGCGAACTTGTACATTGGCTGCAGAAGCAGCTGAAGCAGCTGCCGCAGCAGCTTGTGCTGCAGCAGCAGCAGCTTCTTTCGCTTTTCTTGATGAGCCCCCCTTATGTACTACAGGAATTCGAGGTGGTAATGTCGACTCTAGTATAGCAAATCTGTCACGACATGTATCCCAAGCCAGAAGCCTTGCACTGCCTGAATCAACGATTGACCAGTCACTAACCTTGTAGATGGAGAAGTATGGGATATCAGGCCACACAACTGCAAGATACCTGTGAGTTGTAGAAAAATAATCATTACCATGTCAGTACCGAAGCTCCAACTAGCAATATACAAAAAATCATGACAGGTTGAAATAAACATCATAGGTAATTTGAGATGACATGTATCACACCGAATACAGAACGTCTAGAAACGTGGTTAAAGACACGCATTGTAAACAAGATGCATTAATTTCTCTCTTCTATTAACATTTAATGAAAAGGCTGATTCACAGGCATAAGACTGTATAAACCAAAGAAGACTTAATAGAAAAATAAATTTAGTACTAAGGTTATCGATCTAACTATGTCCCCTACACAGATTGAAAGTATCGAAATTAATCTCAGCATTTGCAGTGCCGGATGAAACTTACTTTCCCGAGCCGCTCACTGAGAGAACTGAATAGGAATCATGTGGAACAGGTGTACTAATGTGCTTCTTCATCTGTTTGACATGTAAAGTTTCTGGTGAGTCCCCCCTGAGAGAAGTATTATTCCCAAGAGATGGATTTGCTGTCTGGGATAACTGAAAGTTTAGTAGCTTAAGTTCCCTTTCAATGACATAGACAGCATTATGCTCTCGACTTCCTGATGGTGTTGGCAAGGGAGCTACAGCTGGAAGAGATTTAGGGTCAAATTCACTGATAATGACACCAACGTTGGTTCCAGTAGCGACCAGGTGAGGCTGTAAAGGATGGGCAACCATACAGTAAACCTGCAATACAACTGATGAGTTTAGGGTAACTTGATAAAATTTTAGCATTGAACATTCATACATGTGCTTTGACATTATTATCTTTATTTATTAGAGTACTTTGAAAAACAATTTTATGAAGCAAGTCTGCTGCAAGGAAGGTTGTTCATATATCTCTCTTTTGAATTATCTGCTTTATAATTTATAATTTAATAATTGACGAACTCCATTTTACTTTGAAGCGAGTATATCACACAAAATAAGTCCCTGTGCTTCTTTTAGGTCCCCAATGGAGTCAGTAGACAAACCCCACAATTCATTTAACATGACTTTCTCATAAAATAAATTTAATAATTTACCATATACATTGAACCACAAAAGTAATTATGTTTTCAAAGAACAAGAACTCAGGAGCTCCTGGAATTTCCCAAAAACGCAGCAAGTAGGAAGAACCACCACTCTTGCATGATTCAGTGTAAAAATCTGGGTCTTATTGAACACATGCTATATGTCTTGCAGTGGAATAAAATCAAATTCAACTGTAAGAGACCTAATTCTCATATAGCATGGTCAAGAAAGAGTACGGTTCATTCAAGAGTCCCCATTTGTCCTTTATTTACGCTGTCAAGTCTAAGGTGGTCTTTCACTTAATTCATCAGAGTCGTGTACAAGATTCTGATTCAGTGATGTTTAAAATTAATAGGAAAACCATTTGCAAAAGCCCAGCAAAAAAATTTCCCTATAACAATTAGGACAATTTGCATTTTCTTAACATTAGACAAGTCCATGAGTCATGAAATAATTCAGTGAGTTTATCCTATTTAAAAGAAGGTGCATGAAGAAAACCTAAAAAGTTAAGAGTGACTTACCCTAATTTTCTTGTTTGGTGCGATTACTTGTGGAGGGATTAGTGAGGAAAGTTCACACAACGGCCTTGTGAGAGCAGAGTATATTGGATGTTCAATAGCCCTGAGAAAATTTCCAAACAATTCTTGGTGATACCCTTCATAAAGAACTAAAAAGATGGGAAATGATTTTGATCACAGATCTCATAACCAACTTATACCTAACTTTTATAGCCAAAAGGCAGAGACTCTGATCATAAATCCACTGTTTTATAGCCAAAAAGAATAATGAACTAACGGAAATGTATAATGCATACCACTAGAAAGAAAATTTTATGCATACCATATATTGGAATCTTTAACACAAGTCAATATATCAAGGTTTGGAGCACGAGGGTGGCACCAGGATGCCACGCTGTGGCAAGCCAATTTTGGAACAGGTTTAATACGCCGCAACTCCTGAAAGAGAAAAGCGGGCAAAATATATAATTAATTAAAACAAAACTTGTAAACTTAATATAAAATCAATTTCTTTTCAAAAAATTGAAAGCATTTTCTGAAATTTCGGAACACCTTAAAAGAAACTGTGTCCCATATAGCTAACGTCTTATCTGCACCAATTGAAATAAGCTGCGGAGCAGCTCCAATCACTCTAGAAAGCTCAACAGCCACAACTCCACCATCATGTGCCTGTCATAAAATAAATGTCTATAATCAAATCTCCATCAGTTCTACTAGGTCAACCAGAGAAAGCTTGCATGCTTAACTGATTACATTGCCTTAAAATCACAATATTGGACATCTTAGATCCGTTTGAGACACAACATTGTGTCACATTGTCCTTATACAAATCATAATATGATGACGACATCCATCAGGCTAGATTCCAAGCATATAACTTACATACCATAACCAAAATATGGAATAAATTAATTCATCAGTAATCTAATCTAATAGTGGTCAAAGAAAAATTGGGGAAAATATGAAAGGATAAGGAGATAATTGCCTTTAAACTTAGCTTGGGAACAAGTTCTCGTGAATCTTGACTATGATCTGCACTCCAAACTACGAGCAAACCATCACTACCCCCCGAAACAAGAAGCGCCTGCAATAAATTTAAGTATAGAAAAAAGAGAATGTAACAGAAAAAAACAGTTAAAAGCCTGTATACATGCGCATATAGAGTACTTAAGTCTATAAAAGATGAACACTCATATCTGCACATCCCAGCATCTCAATATCCTAAACCCTAGATTTTTTCACACCATGCTTCTGATTGAGTGAAGAAGTTACTTCCACAAAAGTGCTATCAGAATGAACATGAAGAATAAGAGATATAACATTTTATGAGCTTCAGAGGTACAATCAAATATTATACATCAAGCCCACTATAGTACTTGAACACTCAGAATCAGACCAAAAAAGGAAGAAAAATATGGTTCAACAGAAAGCTAGCATAAACATATATAAGAAGGTAACTTGATTTCATCCTTTAGAACTAAAAATGTACCTCACCAGAAGAAGCCACAAATGTCATCAAACAAGAAATGGATCCTTTATGCCCTCCTGTGTATCTTCTTACAAGCTGCATGAAACAAGTATATCACATAAAGCAATGGATATTCATAGCCAACGTGATAGACAATTTGGGGAAAAAGCAAACCTTCCATGTCATCATTGAAAGTACTCTGATAACACCATCTGATCCACCAAAAGCAACAAGAGGAACATCACCAACAGCAGATCTAGAAAGGAATTCCATACTGAAAGAGCCATAGGGGGAAACAAAAAAACAGAGCACAAAATATGTCAGAAACAAAAACGAAAATTACAGGTATCTTAATGTTCTTTTATATTTGTATGTAGCAATACTACATTACTACAAAATTACCAGAATCAGTGTAAAGGAATTATAAACGCCATTTCTTCAACTGTATAACAAATATACACAAACGTAATAAAAAATAGTGATAACTTGCCAGAGAAGCGATTTGTTGTCGAGCTCCTGTTTTGGTACATCACGGCCACGCATTGTTACCAAGTCCAAAAATATGGCTTTATTTTCACAACAAATGACAAGAAAATGTCTTCCTTTAGTTGATGGAGCAGGAGAACTAAAAGCCGATGCAACATGATTGACAGCTGATGGAGACTCAGCAGCTGTAGAGCGGTTACGCCAAAGTTGCCAAAAGCGCACGTCATCATCATAGAAGTTCACCTGCTTAACACTTTTTAGAAACCATATGCCCTCAGTGTTTGTTCAGGTTTCAACAAAGAGAAGTAGACAAAATAATGCAATTGCAGTGGTCTATTACCTCCCTCCACGTATGGCTTCAGTAGGTTTCCCTTTAGGCTCTATCAACCACATACAAACACAACAATTAAGAAGATATATATAAATATTATACATATATATATATATATATATATCTCTCACACCAGAAATGTATTCAGAAGAATAATGTTTGATGTAACAGTGGAAGTTTATAACTCTTAAACAACTACTGAACCACACTATGTTGCATGAATTTCAACTAAAGATAAGAAATGGAAGATTGGCAACGCAGTAGCACTCAAAGTCACTTGAAAATCTGTGCATGGATTTTCATTAGAAATGTTGTGCCAGATGTGGTACCTCAATTACCTAAAAGAAATTAAGGTAAGAGCAGCTAATTATAACACTGTTGAAATTTCGAAACTAGAAACCATTGAAACTAAACTGGAGAAGCTTATTATAAGCTCCAATTTCTAAGTTGAATCGTACATTACTACATTATTCTTATACATAGAGAACCAGTAAATGGTTATCGTTATGCTTGAGCTTTTAGGTACAAGAGCAGCTAATAGTAATAGAGTTAAATCCGATGCAATTCTCAAAGTGCTTCTACAAAAGCTTTTAGGTACTCGTAAGCTAGATTACTAGAATTATGTCTCAGAAATTCAGAAGCTAAGTTGACCATAACTAGAATTGAATTTCATGAGCCTCGTAGCAAGTCAAAGCAATTTTAGGATTCAGTACCTGATTCGCCTTCGGCGAGCTTCTCCAACTTGGCGCCAACCAAACGCCGCTGATCGACACCACCAGCTTTGAGCTCGTAGATGACCTAATTCGAATCCACAGCAGAATTGAGCAATGAACACGAACTCACGAACTGAAGAAAACGAAGAAATGAAGAGAGAGAGAGAGAGAGAGAGAGAGAGAGAGAGAGAGAGAGAGGTACCTGGCGATGTTCCCAGTTCCAAACAGAAACGTGATCTGAGGCATCAGCAGTGACCAGCCATGGATGCGTGGGATGCAGCTGAATCTTGACGATCTTATCGTTCGTCGGCCTGAACGCTCTTAACCGCAACATTGATTGGGGTTTCGATTGAAATGCGGAACGGATCGATAAACAACGAACTTGCTCGAGTTTCAGATCCAACAGCACATTATGTTAAGTCCTAAACAATGAGAGAAATAAAACAGAGATGGTTTGGTATGCCAAATGCGAGCCACCGTCTCTTTCTCTCTCTTTCGGCTTCTGATGAGATCGGCCTTTTTTTTCCCTCAGCAATATGCAGGAAATTTTTTAAATTTCTGCAAAAGCTATTACAGAAGAAATTTACAATTTTAATTACAATTTTGATTTTTGTATTTTGAAAATGTTCGGAAATTTAATTGATAATTTTGAAAAAAATTCATTTTCCACTGGTTATTATTATTATTATTATTTTAGTTTAAGTTGGTTTAATTAGTCGACTTTGTCTGTCGTGTTGCTAATTCCTAGTTAATTTATTTCCCCTTATGGGCTATTTTGAGAAACTTTAGGGCCCATTTGTGACGATTTTGGACAATATTTTTAAAGAATATAAAATGAAAAATGAGAAAACAGATTTATATTTTCAAGATTTGATAATTGCTTGGGTCAATCTTTGGTCTGATAGCTTATTTGGAAAACATTTTTACAAAATAAAAGCCGATGCAACATGATTGACAGCTGATGGAGACTCAGCAGCTGTAGAGCGGTTACGCCAAAGTTGCCAAAAGCGCACGTCATCATCATAGAAGTTCACCTGCTTAACACTTTTTAGAAACCATATGCCCTCAGTGTTTGTTCAGGTTTCAACAAAGAGAAGTAGACAAAATAATGCAATTGCAGTGGTCTATTACCTCCCTCCACGTATGGCTTCAGTAGGTTTCCCTTTAGGCTCTATCAACCACATACAAACACAACAATTAAGAAGATATATATAAATATTATACATATATATATATATATATATATATCTCACACCAGAAATGTATTCAGAAGAATAATGTTTGATGTAACAGTGGAAGTTTATAACTCTTAAACAACTACTGAACCACACTATGTTGCATGAATTTCAACTAAAGATAAGAAATGGAAGATTGGCAACGCAGTAGCACTCAAAGTCACTTGAAAATCTGTGCATGGATTTTCATTAGAAATGTTGTGCCAGATGTGGTACCTCAATTACCTAAAAGAAATTAAGGTAAGAGCAGCTAATTATAACACTGTTGAAATTTCGAAACTAGAAACCATTGAAACTAAACTGGAGAAGCTTATTATAAGCTCCAATTTCTAAGTTGAATCGTACATTACTACATTATTCTTATACATAGAGAACCAGTAAATGGTTATCGTTATGCTTGAGCTTTTAGGTACAAGAGCAGCTAATAGTAATAGAGTTAAATCCGATGCAATTCTCAAAGTGCTTCTACAAAAGCTTTTAGGTACTCGTAAGCTAGATTACTAGAATTATGTCTCAGAAATTCAGAAGCTAAGTTGACCATAACTAGAATTGAATTTCATGAGCCTCGTAGCAAGTCAAAGCAATTTTAGGATTCAGTACCTGATTCGCCTTCGGCGAGCTTCTCCAACTTGGCGCCAACCAAACGCCGCTGATCGACACCACCAGCTTTGAGCTCGTAGATGACCTAATTCGAATCCACAGCAGAATTGAGCAATGAACACGAACTCACGAACTGAAGAAAACGAAGAAATGAAGAGAGAGAGAGAGAGAGAGAGAGAGAGAGAGAGAGGTACCTGGCGATGTTCCCAGTTCCAAACAGAAACGTGATCTGAGGCATCAGCAGTGACCAGCCATGGATGCGTGGGATGCAGCTGAATCTTGACGATCTTATCGTTCGTCGGCCTGAACGCTCTTAACCGCAACATTGATTGGGGTTTCGATTGAAATGCGGAACGGATCGATAAACAACGAACTTGCTCGAGTTTCAGATCCAACAGCACATTATGTTAAGTCCTAAACAATGAGAGAAATAAAACAGAGATGGTTTGGTATGCCAAATGCGAGCCACCGTCTCTTTCTCTCTCTTTCGGCTTCTGATGAGATCGGCCTTTTTTTTCCCTCAGCAATATGCAGGAAATTTTTAAAATTTCTGCAAAAGCTATTACAGAAGAAATTTACAATTTTAATTACAAATTTGATTTTTGTATTTTGAAAATGTTCGGAAATTTAATTGATTATTTTGAAAAAAATTCATTTTCCACTGGTTATTATTATTATTATTTTAGTTTAAGTTGGTCTAATTAGTCGACTTTGTCTGTCGTGTTGCTAATTCCTAGTTAATTTATTTCCCCTTATGGGCTACTTTGAGAAACTTTAGGGCCCATTTGTGACGATTTTGGACAATATTTTTAAAGAATATAAAATGAAAAATGAGAAAACGGATTTATATTTTCAAGATTTGATAATTGCTTGGGTCAATCTTTGGTCTGATAGCTTATTTGGAAAACATTTTTACAAAATAAAACAGTTAAAACATATCTGGTACTATAATTTGAGAATGACAAAAACAAAGAATATGTAATTTTAATTAAAATGAATTATGTAATTAATATATGAGCTATTTTTCAAATGAATTTTTGTTAATGTCTCATCTAGAAAAAAAAACATTTTAAAAAATAAAATTCTAATGTTATAAAACTTATAAATATCTTTAATAATATAGAAAATTTGGGAAAAGTCCAATTATGATGACAAAAAATGCATGCAATGTTATCACAATCCACGCGTTTTGAGATTTATTTTTTGATCATCGAGGTGATGGGAATTTGAATTTGGGATCTCTTCTACTATTGGGAAGAGAATACCACTAGAAGAAGATCTAGCAGTGTGACGGGTACCATGGAAAAATTACTTGGTTCAATGGTTTGTTACGAAGGACACGTGGGAATTAATTAGTATTTTTTTGGTAGACTGTGAATGAATTAGTCATGGACTGCTAACTGCCTCATCGAGTCACTGCTGTTTATCTCTCTTTTCTGTTTTCCATACAAGGATCACAAAAGGAGTGTCACCATGGAACATTTATCATGTCCATGTTTCTGTGACTATCAATCTTTCTTAGAATTCTATTAGATTAGATATTTTTCCAGGTACTTTTCTCTCTTTCTCTCACACATTGTTATGCATATTCAGAGGCCAAGCAAGTTATGATCCCATTTTGGAATTGAATTGAATTGTCATCTCCTTCAGTTTCTTTTTCTTTTTCGTTGGTCTCTTCAACCAATTGAAGCTTTGAGTATCTGAATCCAAAATTCTTGTAAAATCTGTTTCTTCACTGTTATTTGCAGATACCCAAAAGAAAACTTAACATTATTGTTTCCTAATAAGTGCAATGTGCACCTTGTCTCTCCATAAATCTTTTCTGTTTTCAAATGATACATTTCTTTTACAGGATCAGGATCAGGTTTGCAATTTGGAACCTTGGATTAGAGCATAACTGAGAAATTTAATGCAAATTTTTGGTTCTACTGGTTGAAAGGGCTTTCCTTGTGGCTGAAGTTACAAGAAACCAAAATGCCGGCTTCGATAAGGTTCCGATCTATCCTTATGAACTTCCACAGAAATTATAACGTTTTTGTTATCTCAATTTGAGTTAAGATGAATGCTTTATTGCATCATGGAGCTAATAGTTTGTTTTTCATCTCTTTGGGCTTAAAACCTTCACCTACTAAACTGCAGCATGGATGAGAATCTAGGATTCCAGTCTGGACTTTCCAGACCAGGGCTGAATCCCCCATCAGTTCAGTTTGAGAACGGATTTTGTGAAGCTAGCTCAGAACTCATCCGAGGCGGATTCGGTGCATATGGAAAGAGAATTTGTGGGTCAAGTTCTCAGTATGTGCAAAGCAATGTAAGTTTCATCAAACCCTGCACTGATTTTGGAACCGAAATTCGAAACTACAAACTGATTCCACATCTACAAAGATGGATGATAACCAGTTGTGGTATGATGTTTTAAGACAAATGATATGATAAAATGTTTTCTGTGATGTTATTTTGTTTCTTTACTATTTATTCCCAAATTAGCAGATAAGCAAGTACTTCTCAGATCCTCAATACTACTTCCAAGTGAACGCTCACTATGTCAGGAACAAACTGAAGATAATTTTGTTTCCATTTCTGCACAGAGTATGTAGAAATTGAACTCAAGGCTGGTCATAAACAAGTTTGAATTCATAACCAAGTTGTAAGAACATGTGTTTAGCTGCTAAATCTCCTTTTGTTTAGGGGCATTGGACGAGGATAACGGAGCCAGTTGGAGGCAGGCTTTCTTATAACCCTCCAATCACTGACATACATGCTCCAGATTTATACATTCCATTCATGACATTTGCAACATACTTGGTTCTTGCTGGCATCTCACTAGGCCTCTCTGGGAAGTAAGTCTAGAGCATCCTAAAAATCCAATATTTTAGCATGAAATATGTTTCGACATTTTTTATTCCTGCGCCGTGCCAGATTTAGCCCGGAAGCCATAAATTGGCAGTTTGTGAAGGGGATGGTAGGCTGGTTGCTTCAAGTGATGCTGCTCAAGGCATCGTTGTCTTCGCTCGGGGGCGGAGAGGCACCTTTGCTGGACATGATAGCATATACTGGTTACACTTTCACAGGGCTGTGTGTGGCTGTTCTAGGGCGAATCACATTGAGCTATGCATACTACTTGATAATCATATGGACATCCATGTGCTCAGGCATCTTCCTGGCAAAGACAATCAAGATAACTTTGTATGCGGAGCTCAATAGTTATGATGCAAACATGCATCACTATCTCTTGCTTGGTATCGCATTTTCACAGTTCCCGTTGATTATCTGGCTCAGCAACCCTACCGGCAATTGGCTTTCCTGAATCTGCTGTTTCGATGCAAATATGCCCCGTTGCTCAGATCTTTTGTGGTAGCAGCATACTGTCCCACTTGAATGAACATTTTATTGTGCATGGCTAGGACTTGAATTCTTTTAAACCTGTTTGCAGGAGTTTAAATGTAACCCAGAACTAATCTAATCTATAGTGTTGCTCGAGAATTTGATTAGTGATTTAGTTATACAACTTCATTGTATTTCATAACTTAGTTGATTGCATTACTCTTCTTGTGTTGGTTCCTAGTTAAAATTTGTGATTAAATTGGAGTACACCGATTACAAAATTTACATTAACATAAATTTCCCTCAGAAATGCCATTAAGCACTCTTCTACATGTTATTTTATTACTAATCGCATTGTTAACCGCATATCTCACAAAGAGTGTCGAATAAAACTAGTTATATTGTACATAGTAGGTTTAACTATCGATTAACCCCATGAACGTGTATGCTACTTTCAATGTACACCCTCAACTTTTTTTGGGGAAAATTAAGTACACGCACTAATTTTTATTGCCAATTCCACCCTCCACCCCAAACCTATCCCCCCTCATCCCCTTTCGCCGTCGTGTACTTAATTTTCCCACAAAAAAAAATTGATGATTGAAATTCAAAGTAGCGTACAAGTGATGTGGAATATATAGGCATTTTAAAGTAGATTTCACTTATATAATTGCCCTTACGTTTTTTTAACAAGCGATGTTGAGGAAAAGGGAGTCGAACAAAAAAGATCTGAGTGCAGAGTTGTATTTTTATTTATTTTTAATTATTGTATATCTATTGATAAGAAAAAGAGTAGCCGTTGGACCCTGGGCCGCGTTTCCTGAACATGAGTTTCTCAACGACCGCGGTTACAGGGAACTCAATATTCCCGCGAAATTCAAATTCAAGACCCAAGATTTCTCAAAACCGGAAAGAAGTCATCTCTCTGTTACAGAAATGCAAACACGTTTATCAGATTCAACCAATACATGCCAAAATCATAAGAAATGCCCAAGGCCAAGACCCATTTGTGATCTTCGAGCTTCTTCGTCTTTGCTCCAACCTCAACTCCATCGACTACGCCAACAAGATTTTCCAGCAAACCAAAACCCCAAACGTCTACCTCTACACTGCCCTCATTGATGGGTTTGTGTCGTCTGGTTGTTACCTTGATGCAATTCGCCTTTACTGTCAAATGGTGAATGAGTTTATTTTGCCGGATAACTATGCCATCACCTCTGTGTTGAAAGCTTGTGGCTTTGGGTTGGCTTTGGAGGAGGGCAGAGAAGTCCATGCCCAGATTTTGAAGCTTGGGTTGTCAACGAATAGATCAGTAAGGATGAAGCTTATGGGTCTTTACGGGAAGTGCGGTGAATTTGAACATGCACGGCAGGTTTTCGATGAAATGCCTGAAGGGGATGTTGTTGCTTCATCGATTATGATCACTTCTTATGTTGATTATGGATTGGTTGAGGAGGCAAATGGTGTTTTTAATCGGGTTAGAACAAAGGATACGGTTTGTTGGACTGCAATGATCGATGGGCTGGTTCGGAATGGAGAGATGAATAGGGCTTTGGAGGTGTTTAGGGAGATGCAGAGGAATAATGTGAGGCCTAATGAAGTTACCATTGTTTGTGTTCTATCTGCTTGTTCACAGTTGGGAGCGTTGGATCTGGGGCGATGGGTTCACTCTTACATGGACAAGTATGGCATTGAATTCAATTACATTGTAGGTGGTGCTCTGATTAATATGTATTCGAGGTGTGGTGATATTGATGAGGCAGTAGAAGTGTTTGGTGAGATGCAAGAGAGAGATGTCAGTAGTTATAATTCCATGATTGAGGGGCTTGCAATGCATGGGAAGAGCAATGAGGCAGTTGAAATGTTCTGGACAATGATAAAACAAGGGCTTAGGCCAAATAGCATTACTTTTGTTAAAGTATTAAATGCATGTAGCCATGGAGGTTTGTTGGAGTTAGGATTTGAGATATTTCATTTCATGACTACTCGTCACGGCATTCAACCAGAGATAGAACACTACGGATGCATGGTTGATCTTCTAGGTCGCTCCGGTCAGCTTGAAGAGGCATATAGTTTCATTACAAAAATGAAAATGGCACCAGATCATATCATGTTGGGAGCTTTGCTAAGTGCTTGTAAAATCCATGGAAATCTCGAATTAGGAGAAAGGGTAGCTGAAATCTTGGTGAATTGTGGTGATGCTGATTCGGGAACTTATGTTCTGCTATCAAATGTATACTCTTCATCGGGGAGGTGGAAAGAGGCCGCACAAGTGAGAGCAGAGATGAAGGAAAGTGGAACTCCAAAGGAGCCTGGTTGTAGTTTGATTGAAGTGAACAATGAGATCCATGAGTTCCTTTTGGGAGACCTCAGGCACCCGAAAAAAGAAGAAATCTACAAAAAGTTAGAAGAGCTAAACGATGAACTAAAATCTGAAGGGTACTTGCCTGCAACAGAGGTGGTTTTGCATGACATTGAGGACAGGCAAAAGGAATGGGCTCTGTCAATACATAGTGAGAGGCTTGCCATATGCTACGGGCTAATCTCTACAAAACCATGTACCACTTTGAGGATTGTGAAAAATTTAAGGGTTTGCAATGATTGCCACTCAATGATCAAGTTGATAGCTAAGATTACCAAGAGAAAGATTGTTGTGAGGGATCGCAATAGGTTCCACCATTTTGAGAATGGGGCTTGTTCTTGTGCTGATTATTGGTGAAAGAAAAAGCTTAATACTAACAGCAATATCAAGTACATATCTTGTTTCGTTACCCTGGAGTTACAAGTTTTCATATATTTTTTTTTTCTTTTTATGGATACTTGTTTTTGTACTTTGTTGATTGTGCAGAACTTTTTAGGTTAGAACAACATTGGGCACCCCTGATAAATAAGAATGCCAATTTTTTTGGAACAGCATCATAATTTTGTCGCTAAACTCCAACTTCATCAGTGATGTACATGCCAAGCTTGACTTTGCGAACAAAAATAAATGAATCAAGCTTGAACAGCTTGAGAAACGATTCAACATGCTTCAAAATAGTCTCATTGGACCATACATTTGACAACTTGAAACAATGTTTGGACAGCTCGTTGCATCAAAAATGGAAAACATTTCACAAGTAAAGAAGACCATACATATAACCTCAAAGATTGATAATTTATCAAAATCTACAAAAACATTATACAACACACAACTTTTGAAGTTCAAAAACCAAATTAGCAGTAGAAAAATGTTTTTGTCTCCTCCAATATCCTGGCAAGCAAATATAGGTTTTGAGATAAACCTAATAAAAAGTTCCCAATAAGTTGAAACGAAAGATGAACCCAATAATTCATTAATTATTGGAGTTTCACAACTAGAAAATTTACTTTGCTTGCCCCCCTCCCTCTATCCTGGATGAACTAATTGGCTAGCATGCCTTCGGCTAGTTCAGAAATATAACATTTATGCTAATGTAAATATAAAAAATCACCTGAAGTAACAAAATCAAGCAAGGACACCACAACAGTCTTCATGACTCTTCTCTTGTTTTGTGTTTCTTTGACTTCTTGATCGAATTGTCACTAATGGTATGCTTCGCTCCTACTAGGCTCTTGCATAGCAGATTCTCTGTGTTTCTTTGACTTCTTGATTGAATGGTCACTAATGGCAGAATATGCTTCGCTCCTACTAGGCTCTTGCGTAGCAGATTCTCTGTGTTTCTTTGACTTCTTGATATAATGGTCAACCATAGAATATGCTTCGGCACTGGTTCTACTAGGCTCTTGCATAACTGATTCTTCCTCGTTTCCTCTCCTCCTCTTATTACTCCTACAAATTCTTTTCACAGTTACAATGCAGAATCTTTTTTTAAAATCTTTTCAAAATGAACAATTTTTTATATTATGAAAACTGTTTCAAGGTAAGTTATAAGGTCAGTGAAATACCCATCTGTTAGTGAAACATTTTCCACATGATTATCCAACCAGAGAATGCTCCCAGTGTGAGCTGGAAGCAAAGAACCAGAAATGCATAATGTTTCCTCATCCATACTGCAAAGATGAATCAATGTCATGAAAGTACATATATACACCAACAATCAAAAGAGGAAGTTCAGCCACATGTCATAAGTTGACAAAGGTTAGCACTAGACCTCGGAACTAGATAGAAAATCATATGACATCTAGACAAGTGAAGATTTGGAGTATTTTAGGTAGTATGTCTTGTCCTTTATGTTCACTAATGCTAGATGGACCATATTTTCAGACCACATATGAGGCAGGTGGGATCAACTTTGGTAGTTGATACATCACCTGCCGTATAATGTTGTTTGCTCGTGCGATCTAAAAATGCAGACCCTTTTAGCATTAGTGCCACCAAATATCAATTTGCTTATAAATAATAAGAAGGTAATAGTAATCCAAGGTCACCTTTTGACTAATAAGCGTATCATGGTTCCAGCTTTTATTACATGTCGCTTGTGAGATCTGCTAACAAATAAGTCCTTGCCATGTTTCTATGAGAATATTGGCGCACCAAAAGTTAAAATGAATTAAAACTGGCAATGTTAAGGATATGAACATTGAAATACAATGATAAAAAACTCTTACAGTTTTATACTGAAATTCTTCGCGAATATCCTTGTCTGTTATAATAGCAGATGAAAAGCCAAGGATAATGACATGAATTGATTCTTGTCTGACTTTCACTACCTTTCCTTCTGAAGTGAGCACATTACGAAACAATCAGCAAAATCAACATTAATGAATACAAATGTGTGCGTATCACTCAATAACAAGATGCATTTTTGCTTAATCATATGATAAACCAATTTTGAACTTAATTGTACGTAATATTATTCACAGAAGGAGTAAAAATTGTCCTTACACTACTGCATCAGTTAATATAAAGGACAAGACATACTACCTAAAAGCATATCGGGCTTTGGAGAAAAAAGTAACAACTTTGCTTTTAGTCTGACATACAAATAAGGATGCATACTGGGAAGGATATCTGGAACCTTATCTATGTTGAATTCATACGCCAATACGACCCCCTGAAATTTTTCATTGAACCTGTATGGGAAACCAGAGAAAGAAAATAAAATACATTGCACTCTCAAAGGCTCTTAACTATGGTTAT